CCCCCCCCCCCCCCCCCACAGTGTTTTGGTTCATAGCGGAGGAGTGCATGGCGGACATTATTATGCTTTTATCAGGCCAACCCTCTCTGAACAGTGGTACGTATAATAGTGTTAAGAGATCTCTGATGTTCATTGCCTTTTGATCTACTATGTAATTGTGCATGTATATGATGGGGACATGAGACATGAATATCTGGATATGAAGAACAATATCTTGCTGCTGGGAATAAATTATTATCACATAATATGTTACGAGCATTTTTATTTTCGTTTATTGGGAAGGAGTTCTGTAAGGTGTTGTGCAGGGATGGACATGTGAGAAGTAAAGCATGTAGATGTTATGATGCATAATCATTTTAGCTGCTGCAAAACTATGAGTCCCCATAAGGTCATGATGGAAGTTACAGATTCAGCTGTTTTTTTTTTACTCATGCAGAGTTATAAGAAATTGGCAATTAGGATACGACCTTAATTTGAGTATGGGGCCAAGGCCTTTTATGATACAAAACTTAATTTTTAGAAAGATATAATTGTCTGTTTTCTTTGCATTACAATTTTCAATACCATGGAAATTGGGTAAGGGTGCACAGTCAAACTAAATTTATGCTTCTTTTTATATTATATGATAGGAGGAAGTGATATTGTTAATATTGAAATTATAGGATTTTAGATATACTGGTATTGTGGGAGGAAAATGATAGGGTAAAAGACTAAATACTCTGAAATTGATATTAACTCGAAATCGTACAATGTATTGCAATTATGTGATATAGATCAGAAAGCTATAGCCCTTATCACTAGTATTAATAAAACTATCCAGAACCTAGACCCTTGTTAGCTTATGCTCAAATATTTTCTGCCTTTGATACTGCATTATTTTTATTCATTGTTTTGGTACTTATTTATTTATTTATTTTTCATTTTGCATATAGTTTATTCTAATACTAGATGTTAATCCTGACTATGGAAACAAATGATGACATCTTAGGAAATATGGAAATTAATCCCAAGAGATAAGCTAAAATATTCTAAAGATAGAATCTGGCTATTGATGCATATTCATGTATTCTAACACTCCTGCAAGGTAAAGTATATTGTGCTTTAGCCTTTTACAGCTAATCCTTTCATAAAAAAGAAAATTACTAAACATGTTTGGAAAGGCAGCTCAGCGATGCTACATGCATCAGTGAGATGAGCACTGTTGGAAAGACAACTCGGCAAATGATCATCATGCTAAAGAGCTGGTTGGCATTTTGTATTATCAAGGAAGGAGAGATTTTGGTGGGATATTGAAATATCATGGCAGCCAAATTTTGCATGTCAAGAATAAAAGCTTAGAAGCCTTAAACCAAGAGAAAATTTAAGATGTTAATTACTAGAAAGGTTGGCATTGAAACCAAGTTTATATTTCTTTCTTTAACTAAATAGGGTGATGGTACCTTAGTCTAAGTTAGGAAAAGAATCTGGACTGCACTTTGAGAAGACAAATGGGGTCTTGAACATGTGACTTGTCAAATGTGAAACTCTGTTTTGTTCCATTTGACCAACCACATAGTATTGATCACAACTGCTGCAACACTAATTCAACACTGACTTTTTGGAGAAAAGAAGTTATTTGTTTGATTGTTAGTGGAAAGAGAACATCATGGACACACCAGATCAAGGTTTTAATTGCAATTTCTTTGTGATCCTTGGTACTGCAGAAAATTGCTTGACAAATTTGGCTCTTATGGCTGCAATTGCTGTTGTGTACTATTTTTAAAAACCTTGCATTCGGGCATCTTGGCGATTGAGATGAAGCTATTTTGGTACGACTGAGAATGTGAGTTCGTGTTTGGGACTAAGAACGCCATACCACTTTCAGAACTGAAGTTGTGGCCAGCATGGTAGTTGAATCGGGATACAAATAGTGTATTAGAAAGCTTATTTTTTGAATCATGAATTGAATCGTAAGATTCATGATGAATGAAAACATAGCATGTGTGTGTGTGTCTATATATATATATATATATATATATATGCATACAAGACATATAAAAGCACTCTAGGCACATTTTAACCTAAAGAAACAGGAAAAATGAAATCATACATAAATATATAGTAACATATAAGCTTCAATACAAACAAAGATACAATTATACAAATAATAACAGTCCTAAGGCTGAAAGAAATGACTGCACAGTTCAACAACAAAGCCTCCAAAAGAACCATTGTTGTTGCTAATTCAGCAATATAGTCACCCAAAAAAATATTAGTGTTGTTGCTGCATAAACTCAGCAACAAGTGGTGCTGTTGCCACACAAATTCAATCATACAACCTCAAAAAATAAATACAAAATGCCCCTATCCAAGATCATTCATCATCTCCAACCCCAAGATCTACATCACTCAAGTCATCTTCATCTTCTTATATCAAAAGTTCTTTTGCTTCATTATCTTCAATTTCATCCTCATCTTCTATTATTGATTTTCCCCTACTAATCTTGGCATTCAAGTTTCTTGGACCTATGTAATCAAAAGAAAATAATAAGGTCTAGTTCTAATTCCAACTTCCAAGTTCTAAACTAACTTTTAAATATAAATAATTACCTCTTTTTCTTTTCTTCTTTGGAGCTCCCTCATCAACACCAAAGCACTCATGTACATCCATCCATGAGGCATCAATAGGCAAGCAAGGATTCTCCTTTTCGGTGATCCACTCATCATTGGATTCAATATTTGACAAGCATATGGGATCTTAGGTATCTCCATTCTCTTCTCTACTATTTTGCCTCATCCCAAGTTGAAGATTATATTTGACATACAAGTGCATTTAATTTTTGTTGCTCCAATCGATTTCTTCTCTTAGTATGGTCAAATGTACTCCAATTCCTCTCACATCCTGTGTCACTACATGTAAGACTCAAAATTCTCATGACCACCATTTATAACTCTTTACCTCTTCCACTGTAACTCTCCCACTTAAGAGCTATAAAAAAAGTGTATTTAGTTTACAAATCTAGTTATTATTAATTATTATGTATTATTTTTATTATATTTATAGAGTAAAAATTAAAGGGATACCCGGTTGTTTCTTATCTCTAGTATCTATTACCATGTCCATTCCAAATATCTCCTTAGCTCTCTTAAACGTTTCAAGTTGTTGATCCATTATAACTCTTGTCCTTGTATCCGAAACCATTCTTTGAAAGGTTTCATATAAAGCAATTAACACTTCATTATCCGGATTGAAGTTCTTGTCATAATGATACCTAACCAAATAAGAAATAAATAAGCTACTAGGCACAAAGAAAATAGTGGTTCTTAAAATGACAATTAGTTTTAAATAATTTACCTAGGATTGAGATAATAGGCAGCTACATGAAGAGGCCTTTGAAGCTGCAAATTCCACCTAGTGTTAATAATCCTCCGATGCAAACATTGATCTAAGAGCATTCTTTTGTTGTTTAATGCAATTTAGTGTAAGATAAGAAGTTTTAAACCTTGTCACAGCTGGTCTTGCTAATTCCCTTCCGTTGGAATATTGTCTATACAAATTAAGGACCCATGTATGCCTATATATACAGGTAGTAATCTTCTTTGCATTAGCAATGATATTATAGAATACCGGAAGCTCTCCAATGTCCTCAAGGTTTAGATCAAGGCAATGGGCTGCACATGGGGACCACAATAGTTTGGTTCTCTTCTGTATTAACATTTGTTCAGCTGCCACAAGATTAGAAGCCCCATCCGTCACATCTAGGGGTGTTCAAAAAATTATATTAAACTAAATTATTGTGAAAACTAAACTAAACTAGACTATAAAAAACTAAACTAATTTTTATAAAAACTAAACTAAACTATATTTTAAGTTCAATTTTTAAAAACGAAACTATTAAAAAAAGTAGTTTAGTGCACTTTAATTATAAAAAAAGTTATAATTAGGAAATGTTCTAAATAATTAATCTGAACTAAACTAATAAATAATAAAATTGGATTAAACTAGAAAAAACTAAATTATTTTTATAAAAATTGAACTAAAATGATTTTTATGCTCAATTTTATAAATATAAAACTATTTTCTAAAGAGTAGTTTGTTAGACCAAACTGTTAATAAAACTGAATTCTCATTATTGATGCCTTTTTCATAGCTTTTCTATTTTGCCCATTGCCCACCGTTGAGTTAGTATACTAGTGGCTTAGTGTTATTATGCACAACTACACAATTATAATATTAATTTGTTGAGTTTAACGATTGAGTTTGCAACATTATAAAAGTAATGGTATATATTTTTATAATATTTTTTAAAAGTCATACTATTTTTTAAAGAACGCATTACCTAAAAAAAATAGTTACATGTAATATTTACATATTATTTTTTAACTTTTTAAATAATTAATAAGGTCAGTAAAATGATTGAAAATTAGAGTCTTTATTAAGATATTTTGTTTTTGTTAATAGTCTTTAATTCTATAACATCGAACTAGTTTATGAACTCGTCAAAAAAATCAAATTACTAAAAATTAGCATAATAATAATGGATTATGATAAATTTATTTATTTATTTTTAGCTTTGACCGTAAAAAATTATAAATTTAAAATTGAAAAGACATTTTGTTAGAGTGCATTTGAATTCAGTTTATAATAATAATAATAAGTTAGTTTAGTATAAATTATAGTATAGTTCAAACTTGAGAACTATAGTTCACTAAAATATAAAATAGTTTAGTTCAATTTTTTGGAAATATTTTTTAGTTCAATTAAGTTTAATAAAACTACAATTTTAGTTTAGTTTAATTCACATGTAGTTTAACAACTTGGACTACATGCTCCTCCCCAATTTCTTCAACAATGCTGTCTAACAATTCGAACATTTTTTTCCCATCCTTTATCATATCACTAGTACCAAACCAATAGATATCAAAAAAACAGTCCCACTTGGACTATTAACAAGAAAATTAGTGGGTGATCTTCCTTTCCCATCCGTCAAACCATCACACATCAAGGTGCATCCCCATTTCTCCCAATCACTTCTATATTTCTCTAAGCTTCTTTGGATGTTGTCAACAACTTTCTTCAAGAAAGACACCCTCACCTCATGATAAGTTGGTGGCTT